ATAACATAATAGTGAAGAGTTAAAAGATAAACAATGAAATAATGAACTGTAAAGTGTTTTAACAATATAAAAACACTACACCTGGAGAAAAAATAACCAATATCCAGCTATGGACAATTTTACAGTAATGGATATTTGAAAATAGCAGCAACATTATAGATATGCAAAATGACAGCAGCATGTTATTTAACTGACTACCATAGAAACTGTGCAAAATCAGCATGAATGTAACAACTTATTGAGGTTGTTCTGAACAGTGGTGGTTTTTAAGTCTTACAGCTGATGGGAGGAAGGATCTGTGATAACGCTCCCTGGTGCATTTAGGATGCATCACACCTGATGAACGTTTTTAGCCATTTGGGGCTCAAGTAAATATACAGTTAATAGTATATATTAACACTGAAAGTGCCTTAGATATTTTTGGGTTTAAGCCTTGTGTTTGTAAAAAGTGTCACATTAGAATGTTTTCTACATCAGCCTGGATTTATTTTGTCACAATATAAATAATCCTTGCCTCAACATTTTCAGGTAAAATTTTATTCTTAGATTGCAGAACTTCTCATAATTTTTATTGCAGTTTTTTTTGTAATAGACCAGCCATTTTAGCATTTCTTTAATATTGCTTGAGTGACTTTCTGGAAGATGTATTCTTTTTTTTTTATTATTGCCTCAGTAAAAATATTTGAGGATTGCATGACTCTACCCACCTAACTTTGTCCCCAATATTGTGCTTAATGCACAGTTTTCAAATATAACATATAGATAACATATTATCTTTAGCCCTGGAATAGATACCATACGTACTCAAACCGAAATTCATCTTTATACTTGATATATACTAAACAAACTGCATATCTGTCTCTTGCTCAATCAAAGGCTGCACGAAACTTTGCCTGATCTCCGGTTTATTGGCTGACCTTTAAATATCAAGTTGCTGCTATCGCTTAATCTTGTTGCTTTACACAGTAAATAATCCGCCCGTATATAACCCTGCACACCACGGATGTCATGGCAACATAATAACCATTCTCACTTGTCTCCAAGATGGACCACAATGCCAACAACGTTACTGCAGAGGTGGGTAGATTACGCAAGAATTGTCATCAAGGAAGAGTTTCACTACTTATATCTTTTTTTTTTTTTTTTTTTTTTTTACTTAAGTAAAAGTTAAAGGCGGTCATCCAAAAAATTACTTATGAAAGAGACGATTTAAGGTATTTTAAAAAGTCTACTCAAATAGAGTGGTTGTTGGATCCTAACATCTAATTTTATGCTTAGAAATAATGTTGTCAGACAGATGTGATGTTGAAGTTCTGATATTTTAAAGTCTATCTTTGACCATTCATCAATTTTATCCTTTGACGAATGGTGATATCCATGAGCATATATTCTCCTGCTGGTTCACAAAGATTATTTGCAGTGCATATAATAATAGGTGCTCTATTTCTGATTAGAGGCGTTAAGAGAAGGCTGCACTTCTCATTTGTTTCAATCGTTATAAAGGCCACCTATTTAGCCAACATTCAGTCATTCACCCATTCTCACTGATGGTGGCAAGCTGCATTGTCCACAGCTGCCCTGTGGCTCACTGACAGAAGTGTGGCTGCCATACAGTGGCGCCACCAGTCCCTCCGACCACCATCAGTAGGAAATGCTGGGGAAGTATCTTGCCCAAAGACACAACTACACTGAAAGCTGGAGCTTGAACCAACAACTTGAACCACACTCCATATCCTACGCCACCGTTGCCCCACATGAGACTAAAGAATTGAATGTTCTTTTGTCTCAAGAGTCAATATGATGCATATGATTTTCAAGGCGTTTTACCAATCATCAAGCTGATTGGTGGGGACTGTCTGTTTTGTAACAATGATGCTGTAACAATGGTTTATCTATTTTAAAAAATGCTAAAGAATAAATATATTTAGATGTCAATTATATATTTTATAAATGTATATACTTCTGTCAGATTTTCTCTTTCAGGGGTCGCAGACAAGGCCAAACGATGGCAGCCCACTGTTCATCAAGGGGATGGGTTAAATGCAGATGTAAATTTCTCCAATGTGAGATCAATAAAGTAAAATTTTTAATATTATTATTATTATTATTATTATTATTATTATTATTATTATTATTATTCCTCTCAGGTACTACAGGTGTCAGCGCTACAGACACATGGCTGTGTTTTTGTAGGAGAAAGCAAAGGTGTTAAAAATGCAGAAAAGAACACAGAATCGAGGAATAGAGGAAAGAAGCTGAAGAAAGGTGAACAGAGTTAAATACGTGAGGCTGTGAGGTGAGAAAGAAGGAAGTGAAAAAACAACAGGTTAAAACAAAACATATATATTTAAGCTACGCATAAGCAGTGAAGGTAGTTCATGGACAAAGAACAGGAGAAATGAATTAAGCACAGAATCAGGTACAAAACAAGTACATTAAAAAGAGAAGATGATTACATTCTGACATCAGAGAAACTGATTTTATTCAATATAAATAGTATAAGAAATCAGTATAAGAAATCAATATAAATAGTATAAGATTTATTAACTTAATTATTATAATTTAATTTAATTTTTATTTTGTTTTGTTTTGTGGAAAACTTTATATATAGCACCCCGCTCCACACTCCATTCCAATAGATGGCGGTAATGCACATTAATAATTTTCTTTGCAACCACCATAAAAAAAAAAGACGAAGAAGAAGTAACAGTCCATCGGCTCGCGCGTCAGTTTGGCAGTTGGGCTTGTTCCGCTTACCGTTACACCTCCTGCTACTTTTCGACACCTAAACAGGTAAAATTTAACAGTTAAGTTTGGTTTCTAATTTAAAATTCCACCTTTTATCTTGGTGTTTAGACTTTTCCAAAACATTGACTCGTAAATCTGCACTAGAGCTACAAGATAAAGTTAGCTTACCTCAAATAAGCATGGTTTAAATTTTCAACTGGCACACTAGCTGACTTGTAAAACTGGCTACAATTGTTTAACGCAAAATAGTTTTCACACATTTACCTACTTATTTACACTTAAACGTGAGAGAAGCGCTGTGAGAAATAAACCTAGTGCTGTTAAGACTTTAATCAGCAGGTGAACACCCTGCAGCCCCAACAGCAGAGGGCAAGTTCAAAAAACAAAAAAACTCGCACCTCTACCTGGTCGTGTTAAAATGTTTAGAACTACAACGGTATTATATCGATATTCTGACTTTTATTGGGCGTATTAGCCATGGCAACCGTGCATTTAAGCGCAGATCCCTCCTCATTGGGACAGAAATATGAGGACTGAGCTCAGCTCACTGAGGCAGGGGAGCTCAGTTTTGCCAACGCGAATTTTCCGCCATTTCTTTAACCCTTTATAGGGCACTCAGTGAAATACTTTGAAAATCCAAATTTCAAGCCAGTACTGTTATTAGAATCCAGGGCAAGACCTTATTACCGTTGTAACATTCAAAACATATGCATATTTTGATGGCAAAAATCAATGTAATAAGAAGTAACGCCAATTGGCCCGAATATATTAATAAAAATAAAAGTGCTTCTTTAAGAAATTCATGAAAAACATTCTAAGAGTGAAAGAAACAATTTTTTTGGTCCAACATAACCTTAGAGGCATTAATGCTGATACTGGTATTTACATTTTTTAATTTATAAACCTAAATATAATTGTTAACTAGGCTTATTAACTTTTTAATAAGCTTTTTACCTTTTTTGTTAACTTTCTTTTCAGCTTAATTTACAGTAGCTATATATCATTATAGGGCTTATCTAATTGGTTAAATGTCAAAATAAGATGTACAGCCATGTAGCAGCAATGGCTGGATATAGATCTTGTTCTTCTAGACCTCACTGAGGGATGGGGGGCTCCATTTGTAAGAGGTATGCAAGTGATCAAAAATGGTATCTGCCCTATAAAGGGTTAAAAAATAAAATAACAACTAAATCTAGCGATCGTTTCCTGTCTAGTTGACGACTTTGGTGATAATATTTGTACAGATAGCTTCTGAGTTTGGTGTCTTCAGTGAGTGGTGAGTGAAGGAAACCCCGCTCCTTCAAAACACAGCTTCTGCAGTCAGAGGAAGAGGAGCGGCGACTCTGTTTCCTCCAATGATCTCTTTATTCACTGGATTGCACATAGACCGAAAAAAACTGAAGTCACTTGCTGCCATCTTTGTACTCCCCACTTTCACAGAGTTGCACCATAAAAATGCCAGTCGCGCTATAAAAATACCGACGTGTGTAGCATTTGGCTGCAACAACACACAGTGCTCTGCTGGGGAAATGCATTTCACATGTTTTTATATATATATATATATATATATATATATATATATATATATATATAAATAAAAATAACAGACATGTACTTGTTATTCAGTCTAGGGCTGCAACTAACGATTATTTTGTAAATCGATTGTCAATTCTTTTTTCTTTTTTTTTTTTATTTATTAATAATCAGCAAAGATTCCTGAAAGAAGACTTTTTACAAAAGTAAACCAAGTGAAAATCTTTCCATTTGAGGGGTTCTTGATAGTGCATATTACAGATCTAAAAGATTTATTTTTTTTATCTTAAATGCAAATATTTTATTTTATTTTTTTTTTTTTACAATTTTAGTATAATTACTGCTCTAAGGGGGTAGCTCTGTTATCTAAAGATGTGTTAGTGTCTCTACTCCAGTTGACGAGTAATAGATTTCTATATTAGTTGACAGTTATTTCAATAATTTATTAATCCGATTTAATTGTTTCAGTCCCAATTCAGTCTTGATTTTTAATATTGAAGTTGTATGTAATGTCATTAACATAAGAATGTAATCAGTAGATGTATATTGCATGTACAGTACATCATCAATTCACCATATTTGGCACATCATCAGAAGTTGTGTTTGAGCGTGTGTAATATTCTTAATATCCAATACCCCTGAAAATGAGAAAATGGTCATTGTTTGACATGTATTGCTTACATTCCGACTGGTCTAACCCACTGATCTCTATGAATAAATGGAGAACTGGGGTGTGTCTCACGAAGCAGGTTTAACAAACGCAGATTCAAATTGATCTAGCCTGATGTTGGAAACTCAGTTTTCGGTTTCACAACAGCTGCTATGAATTAGTTTAATCAACTGCAAGTAGAACCACTTAAGAGTTTAGCAAGTGCATAACCGGTATGAAAAGCCATTATCAGTGGAGCCCCCGATTCGACGAGTCACCATGGCAACAGGAAGTGCCTACAGTATTTCACCCCTACGAAATTAGAGATTTTTATGCAGAAATGATATAAAAAGGGAGTTTAAAAAACAGAGAAACAGTGCTACAGCTGCAAAGGAGAGGAAGATGGCAAAGGAGAAGATTGTTGTTCGAGTTAATGTGAAAGTTTCTAAGTTCCATTTGTAGATCACTAAAATAAGATTCTTCCTGATAAAAATCTCACTCCTAGACTGAACTTTAATGATACATTTTCTAAATTACATTTTTGTAGCAGAAACTGAATTTTAGAAATTAAAAAGTGAAATTATACTTGTAAAAATTAAGTTTTATATATCTAGAGAGGTTTACACATCTTAAGTGTCTGTTGTGACATTTATCAGCTTGACTGAATATGTATTTATAAAATCTGAAATTTCTTCATTGTTAAAAAAATACAAATGATGACGTGTATATTAGGAATATGGAGATCTGAAATCGATTTCTAGACCTCCATAATGTTTAATCTACATAGATGTAAATGACATTTTGTTTGAGATGGTCATTTATATAAAGAAAATTTGTTTTTTTCAGATATCAACAATACAAATTCAGTAAAACGAATACATATTAATACGACTTGCCATAGTTGCTGTTACCGTGATATTATGGGATTATTTCCTAAGTGGTAGTGGATCAATGTATCCATTTATTTGAAATCATCTCGCAGCAGGCGAAGATGAAGAATAAAATAATTGTTCTAATAGATGGAACTTCATCATCTCATGGCGTTCTTCAGTTTGATTCTGTCTTCTTTTACACAGTAAATACTAAGTGGCTGTTTCCAGCTGCTTCGGATGTTATCATCGCGATAAATCAGAGTGAATCCTAACTCTAAAATAATTCCTCTCCCCCCGCAAAATTAATCTAGTGTAATAGTGTAAAGTCATGTGTAATCTGAAAACTATTTCATTAGTTCCTTATGTACTGTAAAAATAAATACAAATGATCCGCATGTCGCTCATATTAAACAAACCAAAAACAAATAAATCTCCTTTGCTGTCACTGAGTCGTAGAATCCTCTCCCTATAAGTATTTAATTTTCTGAAAAAGTGCTGATCATTCTTTTATAAGATCCTCATCAGACAGACATTCAATGTTTGTTTTTCAAAAGCTGGACCTAGTTGATGATGTTTACTTTTATGCACAAAACTACAACAAAAATCTGACTAAATCAGAAAATAAAACGCCGTGATTGCATTTAAGGAGAGCGGAGACAGAGGGCACTCTGAGTTTATTAAGGAAAACCTGCTCCCGACCAGGTTCTCTGGGGAGAATGTTACTACGGTGACTGAAACAGAGGTTGAGGAAACTCTCTTTGTGAAACGGAAAAGTCAGTTTCTCATATTTCAGGTTTAGAAAACTTAGTTTTCAGTAAACCTGCTTCGTGAATCGGACCCCAGTGGTCTAACCAGGTACCTATATGGCGGCTGGTAACTTGGCAACGTGTACTACCAATGGCCAAAAAGCTATCCAGTGAACACACATCAGTGGTTTCCGCATTCAACATGAGTCACACTTGAAAAATCTTCCACTGATCCACCCCCAAATTAAAAAAGTGGGATGTAAATATAATATTTTGTTTTGACTGTTGCACTAAAATAGTTACTCCCTATATTTATTTTAAACAAAACTCCATCCACATTCTGCCCCTGTTAACTGCCTTTAAGTTAAATTTGATAACATCAAATTGATTTAGTTTCAGTTCAGGTTAAAATTACCCAGAAAACTGCAAATATTTTATAAAGTTTATCTTGAGTTTTAAATGTTTTGAGTACTTTCTGTCTTGCTAATGTTGGTGTACATAAGCAAGACATGGAAAAACATGTTTTATGTTATTGTATGTTTACCGTATCTTCCCTTGGTTTGAGTTTGAAGACAACCTTATATTACAAAGGGAAGAGACACGCAGGTAGTTTGGTGTTTGTGAGTGGAAACCCCATGTAAAAAAAAAATAAAAAATCAGGGGCACTATGTAGTTTCTTAAAAACATAAAATCTACATTTTTTTTTTTTCTGTGCTCCTAGATTTTTTTTTTATGGGACCACTAGTGTTCCTGGTTAGAAAGCTAAGATACAGTTCTGATTAAGAGTACTAAGATAATGGTTTCATTCAACTGCTGTTCTGCTGTTACTTAAACTGCTGTCAGGTATGTTTACTGCAAATTTCTGGTGAAAGAGAAGCAAAAGTCCTAAGTAAAGCTGTGCGTTTCCATAAAAAAAAAACTAAAACCCTCTTCAGTCTGTTTGATTTTGTGCTTTCGGATAAATGAATAATGATTTAAAAAAAACAAACTATTAGCCACACCTTAAGATGCCACCGCAGAAGCAGATTGTTTTGCACACAATCCCGTGGATTTTTCTTTGTTGTTTGACAGCTTCTTTTTTTAGTTAAGCAAACAAGACATCAAGACTAGGAATTGAAAAGTTACATTTTAAATGATTCCAGAGAGTTAAAAGGTTGAACCCATCTTGGAACAAAGCCTTAGTAGGCACTTATGAGAGAATTTTAGTTTGTCATATTGCCAAAAATGTTTTTAAACGGCAATGACCTTGCCTTGAAAAAATGCAGCCAGTGGTATAAGACATTTTATATTTAGTATATTGCATTTTTTATTTTGATTAGAGTATAAAAATTTTTATATCCTGGCAACCTTAGGGACAGGGCCGATCCGATACCAACTTAATTTACAGATTGGAAATCCATAAATTAACACAGGGACATTCGGATCTATGCATTTTCAACTATGTAGTCTGCTTAAATGACTCAGCAGGTTGTTCCTGGTCACAAGAGCACCAAGACTTTTTGGCAAGTGGAGAGAAATGGGAAAGGAGCTGCCAGGAATCACTGCTGGAGTCATTTAAAAAAGAAAGTAAACCATCGACTGATAATATGGAAGCAAAATTAATCACAGAGAAGTTTCTCGACTTTATCGTTAACCAGCCATCATCAGTGGGGGAAAACTAGGGATTTTGTAGTCGATTGATACTCTTTAGTGACTGCGCTACCAGAAGTATATATCCAAATGTCAACAAAAATAGCTGAAAAATAAAAGAAGTTCCAGCTCTGAGCTTCATTACAGATATTTGGACTTCAGGTATCTGCACAATATCAATAAGTCTTATTGTTCACTGGCTTGACTCTTGATACTTATGGCTTCTTTAGTGCGGTGCTTCAGGTGAAAATGTCTAGTTACAACCTCTGCCTCCACCACCAAGCTGTTAAATCACCGGCACATCCTTTTGGAAAAAGTGCATGTCATTCTATGGGACAACGCAAGTAAAATGTCAGCTGTGATAGACACCATGGTTGTTTGCTGTCTTGGTTGTTTTCCTCACACTCTGCAGCTTGCTGTGCGTGATGGGCCTGATGTCACAAACTAGTGTATGTGATGCATTAGCAAACAGTAGAAAGATTGTTTCAAGCATTCACAACTCTGAGTCTAACTTGGAAGTCTTGGAGCTTGAAATACAATCTATGGCGACCACAACCACTCCAACCCATCTTGTCCAAGATGTCCAGACAAGATGGAACAGTTCCTTCTATAAGATCAAGAGCCTTCTGAGGGAAAAGCAACATTCTTTGTGCCTACGCTGCTGACCAAAACCTTCCGGAAACACTTTGAGCCGACAAGTGGAGTTTACTAGAAAAAGCAATGACTGTGTTTGATTCCATAGAGGAGTTGATGACAAAAAATCAGTTCAGCAACATCCACTGCATCCCATCCGTCACAGTTCTGAAGCCCTGTCTGCTGAAGGAGAACAGTACATATAGCAGCATCTAAACGATAAAAAGCTGTCAACAGGCACTGAACCCTATACACTGTTGCCACTTTCCTGGACGCTCATTATAAGGACAGGTGAACCATATTTTATTACGATTTTCCTGTGACTGTATCGGAGCGTGTGAGCGGAGCGGGCAAAATATGGTGGAGCACAGAGCGGTTTTTAATTCAAAGGCTTGAGCAAGAATGTGTGAGCAAACGACAATTAAATAAAATTTTTAAAATATTTATTTGATTGATTGATTGATTGACTTAAAACCTAGGCCAATGCCTATGCCGTTTTCTGTGCCTATAATCTGTTATAGTCTATGTTGAATCGCCGAGACGAGGATTGCATATTGTGTGAATAAAAAGTGGGATAAAATATCATAAAAACATACACTAACTATACTGAACAATATAGAGTGGGTTTACATAAAGTGAAAATCGCACTCATGCATTATACACTATTTAGTCATTTGCAATGGGATGCGAAGTGACCTTTTTCAATGTAGTCTAGTATAATAACTTAAAAACTTCCTCAAAAAGAACCTGCCAATGTAAGAGTGAGATGTGTTTAACACCATATCGCTCCATCAGTGTAAATTTCTTGATGAGTCATCTGCTCATTTTTTGTTTTTTAGCTTAATTCAGGTCACCTTTGATGCCGAACCTCCTTTCCCTTGTTCAAAATGATGCTAAACGTTTTAGTGAGATTATTTGTGTGTATAAGTTGTTTTGCACTTTATTCTCATAATATATGACATTTGGCCCTTTTCTTTTTTATATTTCATATTTGAAAACCTTTAATTTGTTGATGAAATGAGTCGGTGGCCAACATTTCTGCTGCTCAAATGAAGCAGCTCTTTATAGTTTAGCTTGAGAGACGTACAGAACCACCATGGCTTTAATTTTGTTGTTCAGAATGATGCACACCGTTTTCTTTATATTGTGTAATAATTGTTTATAGTTGACTTGTTGCACTTTTTTCCTTTTCTAATATTTGACAGTTGATGACTTTAAATTGCTGCTGCTACAAAAGTCAATAATACACTTTTTATTTATTTGAACAATTTCTTCTTAAAAGCTCTGAATTGTTGATGCAACAAGCCAGTGGTCTAAGCTTGTGCTGCTCAGATGAAGCAGCACCTGATATTTTGTTGAGAAGTTATAGGTAAAGTGTTGACTTTTATCTGTGCTGTTTAGTTTAGATGGAACTCTTTTATTGTGTTTCTAGAACTCTTTGTGGCTCGTCTTTATATTTAATAAATATCAATTTACAACCATTGCAGTTTTATATTTACTTTTAGGATGGGAATTTCCTCATTTCTGACATCCTTACTTCAAGTTTCCTTTGGGACAGATGCTTATATGTGTCCATATACTAGCTTGTAGAGTGTAGTTTTAACCTCACATAAAATGAATAACGATAATAAAACTCTGGTATCGGGATAATGCCACTATCGGCAAATATCCAAATTCAGATTTCGGTATCGGAAGAGAAAACATGGATCAGTGCATCTCTTGATAACCTTATTGCTAAACCATATAAGTCACTCCTAAATATCAGTTGCCTTTCAGTTTTGTAATATCAGAGCAAACCTGGTTCTTCTGTTCTTCTCAAACTATTAGGCTTCCAGGATGTTTTCATTTCGAGGGTCTAGAGGAGCCACATTTTCAGGAATGCAAAAGAGGAATGTGCCAACAGCATCAGAATCGAAAGATTCAGACCCATCTTCCATCGATGGTCCTAAGGATTATCACTTAGTCGGACAGGAAACTAAGACCATCAGACCCAGTAAGCTTTGGAATGGGAGCTTCCATTCACTACTCTTGATAGTCTTTTTGAAAGTGACACACAGTTTCTTGATAGACTTTCACATTTAATGTCTTTGTTTTCTCACTATTCTTTTTTAAGACAACCTGGTGGTTTAACCTGTTTTGGTTTTTTTTTCCTTTTTTTTATGCTGTTTTTATTGAACTCAGGTCCTCCTGAAAAGCCAAAAATCTCTCCCAAAATGCTGGTTGAAAGATACAACAATGGCAGCACCGACGCCGTGTCTTTGCTTCATCAGCTTGCCCGTGTTCTACAGTTTAATCTGGAAATGAAAGAAACTGTAACCCCAGGTGAGAAATTACCGTAAAACGTTTCCCCGACCTACTTGTGGCAAGTGTGCATGGTTGAGTGGAAGGTTCTGCTTCCACCCAACCATCAGTGAATTGTTCCTGCACTGTGTGTGTGAAAAATGCTGAGTAACAGAACCACTGAATGTTTTCATTTTTATGAGTAGGTGTCTTCTTAACTAATTGACATTAAAGAAAATTGGTCTGTATTGTCATTTTTTTGGTATTTTCTTTTGTTTGTGTTTTAAGTCTCTGCTACTGCAGTAAGAATATGGAATTCTGGTAAAATCCTTTTTTATGCAAAGTTTATTAAATCTGTAACATTTGAAAGTAGTTTTTAGGAGACTGTAGGAAAAATAATCTTTCTGTGAGTACTAGTTTGTTTTGGTAATAGCTGTGGCAAACAATATATCCTCCTGTGTGTTCAAGTTTTTGTTAAACAGTATGCAATCTTTTTAATTACTCTTTTCTATATTACTCCTTTCTTTCAAGACAGAAATTAAAGAAGTGCTAAATAATAATAATAAGCGCTGATAAGATGGGCTATGATTCATCATTTGACCTTTTTGGATGCTATAGGCATAAAAATGGCAATCAGTAAGCCAATCCAACTTAAGCAGCAATAATAGACTGTATAGAACACTTTATAAGTGATAAGATTTTTATGATCTCATTTCTTGTTTGTGTTTTTTTTTCATAGGGAATGTGGCAGGATTTTATTTTGCCTTTGCTGTGGTGATAGATGGTGCACAGCAGAGGACTGGCTGTGGCGTGACTAAAAAGGAAGCTCGTCAGTATGCAGCAAAGCTGGCTTTGGAAGACTTTTTGCCGACATTGGACTGTTTCAAATCTGATCTTCCTCAAGCATCAGGTTTTGTATTTTGAGAACATTAATCTGTTTTTGTTTGATACTTGAAGTTATAACATTATGAAAGTAATTTGACTAAATTAAGTTGTTTTGGGTTAAAATTATGATTTTTAAACTTTCTTCTACTGTTAAAAAACAAAATAGAAAGGTTGGTTGGGATTTGTTGTCATGTGCTGCATTAGATATTTCATAAAGGAAAAAAAATTTTCCCCCCTTTTTCTTTTAAAGCACTGCTTGAAAAAAAAAGCAAAACATAAGGCAGCAATTTTTCAAACATGAAGATTTTCTCTTTAAATGGATGTGAAATGCATTAAGATTTTTCATTGTTTTGTTTTTTTAAGAGATGATAAAATACCTTTAACCAGTGGTATCCACATATTTTGCAAAAGGGTCCAAATATGTCAAGTACTCAGGGGATAAAAAGCTTTTTTGTTTGTAGGTTATATGAACTTGTTTTTCCAACACTTAGTGTTAAATTACCTCTGTTAAAGTTAGAGAAGATAAAATTAAAATGTGTGTCACTGGTGGTTTAATATGATGCACATGGGCTGAAGAATATCAGGGATTTTCTAATCTCTTGTTTGTAGATGCTGTTCTACCATTGCCAGTGAAGACGGAGCCATGCACCTCTGGCAGCCATCCTTGTAAAGCCTTTTACGGTAACTTCCCTTTTCTGTTTTTTCCATAATTGGATGGATTGAACCAACATCCTTCTGTTTCAGTATATTACTAATACAGATGTATTACTAATTCTGTTATCCTACCAATGACACTGGTGGTATTGGTGTGACCACGTCTCAAAGGAAAAGTTATATTTGCTGTTTGCGATCTACTAACATTAGAGGGTTTTCAGTGCTATGGAGTTAATTTGCTTTAGCTAACATTGGTTTGTTTTGCAGATATTCAGAGTACATTTTTACTCTGGACTAATTTTGAACATGTGGGAACCCATTCTCCTATAGATCATGTGCAGGGATAGATTATCTCATGGAAAGCTTACAAACCATGCTGCTGTACCCGTACTTCTCCTCCTCTATAGTATATCTAAGTATATCATGTCTGTCATGAGAGAGGCTTATTTCATGGCTATTATGATACAGTGACCCTTACTGAGTAATCTGCTTAGAGCATAGATACACTCTCCTTAAAAAGTCAATTGGAAAATTTTAACACTTGAATATCATATTGTTAGACACACAAGTACGTTTCTTATTTATGGAAAAGATACGACTCAAAAAAGACTGATATTATTCTGGAATAAATTTTCTCAGTTTTTTTAAACTAAATGAAGTCAAACTGAGATGCTCACATTAGTAGTTAAAGTAGATTTAGTTATCCCCTTAAGATATGTCTGAAATCATCTGCTAAACATCATCCGTTCCATTTCTAGTTCACTTTTCTTTGACAAATAAGCTTCATATATAAAAAAAAATAAATAAAAATCCTTTATCCTGTTTTGCCCAGATCAGATCCGTAGAGCTTATTGATTTTATTTTGTTTTTCAGAAAAAAAGAGTCCAGCCCACCTTCAGATTTCACAGGCCGTGAAGGATCAACTCTGTAAACTGATGAACAACCACACCCAGTTCTCTGGTTGCGGAGACACAGCAGCAGCATTCGTTCTCAGAACTCGTAAGTATGCTCTGTTATGGCAATGTACAAAAATGTTCCCAACCAATCATTAGTTACTAGATTCAACTGTGCTTCACTGAATTATTGTTGAATCTAATGACTTCAAGGACATGCAAAACAATAATACACGAAAAAATCAAATGCTGTTATTTAGAAAAGCAAAATGCAGTTTGCCTAATACTTAAGGTGATTAAGGGCCCAATCCATAGTGCTGCGTGCTGTCAGGGATGTCATGCTTGACGGAAATGCAGAGAAGTGTCAAAATGTTTTCAAAATGCGATCAGTCATCTGGCTACATGCAACACAGTGTGGAAATATTTCACACGAAAACACCTCAAATCAAGACTGTTGCCTGCAGTGTCTACAAAGCTGCTGCACTGAGAGCTGCAAGATCTTCGTGACCTAAAATTCAGTCAACTTGATGTAAATCTGTTTTTCGTTTGGTATAAAGTCAGAATAGGAAGACGGAGAAATGCTAAATTGTGTTAAAAGTAAAAATCACATATTGACAGCAAATATTGAAATTGTCTGTATTTATTTAAAACAAATAAATGCCTATTATGTGTTAGCTGCGCTGCTGTTGAAAAGAGTTCAATGACTTCTGATTGAACTCCATCTAATCTAATAATAATAGTAAAAAAAAATCTGCATTAGATATGTAAATCAGATTTATAGTGCATAAGTAAAATTTATTTTGATTATTATTCTCTAAGAATACCTCTTAATAAATAAATAAATAAATAAATAACAAACGGCTGGTTCATGTTATCCCTATAAATGCTTGTTTAAAAAAAAAAAAAAGTGCATTGTGTGAACACATTCACAGTCCCTGTAGCTTTTTTATGAAGTTTACCTTGTAATGGAATTATTGGTTTTTACACATATTTTGTAGGTTACAATACTGTTTCTGCTAACGGCATTGCAAACATTTGTTGGTTTTTGCTGTTTAAAAATTTCCACACACTGGTGTTATTGCAATTGAAAGTCTATTAGCCACAGGTAGTGCTGGACAATAAATATCAATATCAGTCCCAATCTCATTTTATTTAATAACAGTGATATGATGTTGAAATGCATTTCCTGTATTTTATATTAGTATTTTATTATATACATTAGTTCACTGTCATAAATCTTGGCCATGTAAGTGAAAACTTACACCACAGACACAGAGCCTGTGACTGCAGCTGTGAGGGGGAGCTAAATGCAATTTGTAATACATATAATATAGGTAATCCAACATTTGCAATATAGAAAGTGATAGAAAATTCTCTAAAGACATTTAAAAATCAAAATAAACATTATCTAAAAAAATTCCAGTATTCCAGAAGTTATTTTAATCTTATTTGAAACTAAATCAATTTTTTGTTTTCAAATTCAATTTAAAAAACAGTTAACAGAGAGACATAGAGTATGAGACAAAATATATATACATCCACCTTTTTAATTTAGGGGATTAGTGGAAGCTTTGCGCATGGCTAGCCCATGTTCAGTGGGGCAACAGCAGAGTTGCTCTTTAACTGTAGAAACAGGCTGCTGCTGCCTTAGTGTTTGGGAGGAGGGAGGGGCTCGCTCACTCCTCACTGAAGACACTAAACTCAACTGCTTTCACGTTGTCACATCTCCAACGGGACAGGAAATGGTTGCTAGATTTATCAATAGTCAGTTTTGGGAAGAAAAAAAATGGCCTCAAAAGTTGCTGAATGTAGCGAAAAATTAAGCAGAATTGGCAACAAGATTTTCACCTGCTTCATTGAGCGGATGACGGTTTTAACAGCGTTGGGTTCACATTTTCACATTGCCTTTCTCATGTTTATGTGCTAATAATGAGGTAACTGTTTAAAAACACAAGTTTCTGTGGCTGTTACACTCAGTCTTTTGCAGTTAACCCTGAGCTCACTGCAAAAGCTTTAAATAAAGCCAGTTTGTCTTAAAGTGCATTTTTCTTGATTTGATCAGGTAAATGAGACACTTTGCCAATGGAATAAGAACATTTACATTCAAAATAAGAAAAAAAGCAACTGAAGGCTAGTTTGTATTTTCAAAGCTAGTGTTAGGATAATTATCATTGAAGATGTGAGTTTATTACACCTTGGTACTGGCTGCCTGCTGCGTGTCAGAACTGATGTTTTAATCTAATTAAGACTGGAAATACAGTTATAATCTTCATTTTGTACGTGGCAAAGACTTGGAAATTGAATGAGAGCAGTGTTCTTCAGCTAAGAACGAAGTGTAATATTTTGATAAGGCTGGAGCCATGGATGTCATCATCTGCTAACGTGTATGATGTAAAATAAGATGATGAGGCAGAATGTAGATGTATAAAATGCCTTTCTAACTGTTAATCTGGGCCACTTCCTGAGAGGTGAGCCCGGAGGTGTGCAGCTGCCTTCTGTACATTCAAAGCACTTTCTCTGATCAGAATAAGATTACAATTTCTATCAGAATCTGTTGTCATGCCTCCTGGTTATTTAATAAATATAAGTTATGCAGTGTTATTTAAAGAGTTTGTCCCGAGTGATCTCTTTTCATGGAAAAGAACCGGAGAGATGGAGCATCAGGGTGGATACACGGAACCTATCTTTAACACTACTTAGTTTTGCAAATTTATCCTAGACACTTTTAAACTGTCTTTCAGGCTTAGGTGTCTTTGTCCCCTTAAAGATATGGAAGTTGATTATTAAAAAAATGATGGAGGCTTGACAGAAAATCTGGAAAAAAGCAAGAAGCCGTGGACTGAGGAATATAAGGGGGGAGAAATCCCCTGGTTAAATGTGCATTTCCTAAGATGACCTCCACATAAAAATGGTTAAATCTGATGTTTTTTCATTATTTTTAAAATGTTTTAGGAGTTTCATAGATGTGGAAAAATTATTTTCATAATTGTTTCCAGGCATCTATTGGTAATGTTTTGAGGATTCTTTCATATTGTTAATATCTATATCAGAATTGGTTGATTGAATTGGTTAAATAGTCTCATAAAGGGCCTTCAGATGACATGTGCGCCATATAAATGAACTGAATTGAATAGAATCCTCCTCGGCTCAGGCTCCTCCACCCCTTCCCACACTGATGCGCAAAGTTGGTTAACTTCGGCTGACTGCAGAGACATGTCATTCATAAAAACCATGGAGGAGGGAGAGAGCCTGAGCGTCTCTACCAGCAAAATGTGCCATAATTACAGATGTGTTCAGAGCAACAAGTTTGGCACTGAAAGCAGGACCATCAGCATCAGACAGTGAAGCAGACCTACTGAGTTAGCAGAGCAGGCGGACAGGCTGATAAACAGCTGAGGAGGAAGGGCAGGAGTAGGGGGGACATAAGAAGGACAGCAGAATGAATCCTAGCAGCCTGCTAAGCAGTAGCTAAAGATGTTAGAATAAGCAGATTAAGATAAGAACAAATAAAACCTTTATTAAATCTCAAAAAGTGAAATTTATCAATTTACATTCTTCTCAAAGAGAAACTGTTTAAACTGCTTCAAAAAAAACATTTTTTTAAATCTAGTCTAGACACCCAGACATGGTTTCTTGCTCTCTGACTAATACTGGGAAATGACTCCACGGGGGAGGAGCATGAAAACTAAAAGATCTTCCTCCTATTCTACTTTTAGAAACTGCATGTCATGGCACTGAATATGCAGCCTGATAGTCATGGTCCAAATTAGGTCGTTCTTTACTAGTCAAACATGAAAATCACTATCCTCTTAGCGAAATCCATCTTTTTAAATCCCATATTGTTAGAATCAAAGAAAGAAATAGTTTTTAATGTTTACACATGACTGTAGTGGAAATAAATACATTGCTTGAGAAATATTGTAGGTTTAGTAAACCTTGACATGACTCAGAGGAGATAAGTATATTATGCAATCATGCCACATAATTGGTGAACGAACTATTACATAATCACAAAACTTCTGTGAAGCACACGCATATCCTCTACTTTAAAAGGTTGTTCATTACCTTTCAGGGAAATGTGAACTACTGTAATTTTAGAAATATTGATAACATGTTAGTGGAGCATATAGACTCTAAAACATATTTGCTTTAGGACCATTTTGATAATATCCTATTTTACATCGAGTTACTTTTTTTTGTTGTTGTCCCTTTCTCAGTTTAGAGCATTGAGTTACCTCAGATTAAAGCAGGAGCAAGTGCAATGCTGGTCTCAATTATTAGTCCTTAATATACAGCCATCTAATATTTATTTGAAACCTTTAAAAAATCCAACCTTTGAGTTACATTCATTAAGTGAGGCAGAAATTCTTTGTTGCCAATAGGGCCCACGTCTTAGAAAAGGGGTCTTGAGAATACAGAAAGAGAATTTAGATAATTTCCAAGTTTTTGTGGGATGTAGGTGTTCTAAATAAATTGATGATTGGTTTTGTGTCTAGAGAATAATGTGATGAGATGGCTAGGGGCTGTACTGTGGGGCAGTGTGTAGCGCTGTTACGCTAGGTTCTTGGTTCAGTTCCCGGCCCAGGATCTTCCTGCATGGAGTTTGCATTTTCTCCCTGAGCATGGGTGGGTTCTCTCCAGGTACTCCGGCTTCCTCCCAAAGTTCAAAAACATGACTGTTGGATTAATTGGGATGTCTCAATTGGCCTTTAGGGTTGAGTGACTGAGTGTGTGTGAGCATGGTTGTCTGTGTTGCCTGTTCAGGGTGTACCATGCCTCTTGTCCAAACACTGCTGGAGATGGGCTCCAGCCCCACTGCAACCCTGATGGAATAAGCGGAAGATGGATGGATGATTTGGCTATATGTTTTTAATCCAAGGATATCAAATAGTTAGAAATGCCACTCACTCTCACAGATTCCCAGAATATTTTGGAGAGGAATCAGCCCCCACTATTGTTGGTCCTACACTTTGTTGGCCTTTTGTGTTTTGTATTTTTTTTTGCACCACTAGTGGCTCGTTTTTCCAACAGTAGGCTGACAGGAAAGTGGGTATGAGAGAGGTAGAGGGGGAGAGAAATGTGGCAAAGGATCACAGGTCAGAGTCGAACCTGGTTTGGCCGCGTCGAGGACTAAAGCCAAGGTTTCCGCGGGTCATTAAAAATCATTAAAAGTCATTAAATTATTGTTTAAATGAAGGCCTTAATTAGCATTAAAATGTATTTAATGTGATTACTGTAGCATTTAAAATGCTTTATTTTTTTGTTTCTCACATGTGTTTATAAACACAATTTCATCAAATATTATTTTGCGATATATTGGCGCAGAACTACTTCCAATTGATCCTAAAGCCGTATGTTCGGAATAGAGGCTCAAGGCGGAGAAAAAGCTAGAGAATGGAGAAAATGCAAATTTCAACAAAAGTGGCTGGAAAACAACGAGTCTGGGACATGGCTGCAGCCTGTTGACTACAAAGATGACGAAGGATTTTTCCGTGTTATATGAGGGTCATGGTTACTTGTTGTGATGGAATTAATTATTATAATTATTAATTAAAGAGCATTAAATTAGTTACTCATTCCTGTTTAAACCCTGTAAGCCCTCCATACATGGGTCGTGCCCGCTACCCACTTTGTTTGTTGCAAAAAAACCTCATATGAATCTCAAAATGGGACAAAACATACTTCCCTAAAAAATGTTACTTTCATGTTTAAGGGATATTTATACATTTTTACTAGAGGTTTCCAAAAATGTGGAGAGTTTCATTATGGGGTAAGCTGTACAAGTGACACAAATGAGAACTTATATTGTTGAAAAACACGTTTCAGTAAAGATGTTTAGGTAAACTGTGACATTACTCATAGAAGAAAAAGAATTGCCAAGAAGGCCTGTTTTGAAATGTTTAACTTAATCCTGTTCTAGCCACTGGATGTGAGGTGGTCGCTCTTGGGACTGGAAACTACAATGCCAAAGAGTGTGTGTCTGCCAATGGACGGATTGTGCACGATTCACATGGTGTTGTGACAGCAAGGAGGTCTCTTATGAGGTATTTATTGAAAATATTTCTTGATCTAAAAGTTAGAGTTGATTCAGGTTAACATGTTGCTGTGGGTTAACATGAGCGACTACTGCCGACTACTGTTTCTGTAGATTAAAAATATTTAACTTGAATGTGTATGACCATAACTTGATTGGTCTTATACATTTACTGACTTCTCACTTTGTTAATCGCTTTGTTGGTTGCCTTCCCCTGTCTTTGTTTTTTTTTTCTCTTTTTTTTGGTTGCATTAAGTACATTTATTTGGTCTGGAAGCATTAGTTTGCAATATTTTACACAATGACCTAACATGGCCCAGGTTGCTATCTCACACAGAGCCATAGAGGCTATTCGGAGGGTACCAACCTTTACACATACAGCACACATTGACAAAAATGTTGCACCAGAAGCAGGCTGTTTTGTTTGAGCAGAAAGGTTGGATTGGGTTTAGTTGTAACAGTAAATCTTACTCTAGAAGTATTAATGTAAATACAATACAGTTAAAATACTGTTTAGTTTTTATAAATTTTTAAAAATATTCCTACACGAATGCAATGTTTATGTTGCAATGCATTCAAGGTCAATGATTTATGGAAGGTCCTATATCACTATAGCCCTTGTCCAGCCAAAACGCCAATGAGTAACTTTAATCCTTTTCAATTTGAGCTGGAGTGCATAACGATCAACGATGTAGAAATCACAAGGGGTAAACAAGATGAGAAGAGGGGAGAGTTGGCTAAAGAAGCAGGTGTTTGTGCAGCTGTTGCTTGGAGATGCTAACCCAGAAGGAGAGTTATGCCACAAAGAGCTCCATTTTCTGTTCACGATACGCATCAGGAGCTAAACCTTCTCTCAGATATATTAGAACAATGTATTTAAATGACTGAAAGATATGTCACCATCACTTAAAGCACACTATCATCTACTGATTTGATTTCACATTGCTCTAGTTACTTTAGCAAACAGTAGATCACAAGCTGATTAGATTTGTCTGTATCAACAGATATTCCATGTATAATGCTTTAACTTTGAGACAATAGCTACGTTTACATGCGCAAAATTTCCCCGATCCGATCCAAACCTTGGTTGATCGGAAATTCAAAATCTCCGTTTACATGGACACTAAATGAAATGATCCGATCATGACGTGTGTATACATGTACCAAGCGTTNCATTGGTTAGCTAAAGGAAATCATCAGAAGCAAGCAGGTGTTCTTCAAACTGCAAACATGAATTGTCTATGCCATGCTACAATGTAGGATTCAGAGAAAGATGTTGAAAGGTCGGACACAGGCGTGAACGTATTGGGAGATGGAGACCAACAAGACCTCCCTCATCCTTGGCCCTATCTCAAAGAATTTTTCGAAGTAGTCGAAAAATTTAGCTTTTAATTTATATAGTGGCATATGGCTGTTTTTTTTAAAGGTTACTTTATACTTTAAGTAGTTTATGAAGCACATACTTTTTCACTTTTACTTGAGTAAAGAGGTCAAGTTGATACTTTACTTTTACCAGTGTGTTTTTAAACTGCAGTATCTATACTTCAACTTAAGTAACAAACGTGTGTACTTTTGACACCACTGAGCACATATAATAAATTAAACTGATTAAATACATTTAAATCTACTAAACTATATCTGCAATTAATAGTAAATCAATTATTGGTTTATAACGTACTCTATGAAAGGCTCCGCAGCACTTCAAGCCCATTCTGTCTACCTGCTCCTGCTCCTGTGCTGTGGAAGTTGCACAATGTAGGAGTCATAATCTTTTTTGTTTTATCTTTATCTTTTTGACGCTAATGTCGAATTGGTTTATCTCCCAAAAACGCATGCAAATAATGTCCTATTTTGAGTTAACATTCTGAACATGTGATATAAAACAACAAAAGGAAATGCAAAGAAAATTGTCTTTTTTCCCCATTGTGTTTCATCATAGCCTGGAAAATGAGGCTCAATTTATCTCAGAGGTCAGCAGCAAAGATGTGAAACGGGTAGAAATGGAAACAACTCTGCTTATTTTGAAATTACTTCAAATGATGCTGGCTTGTTAGGCCACTAATCTACTGCAAAAAACGTTTCTGCTGAATTTCTACTTTCCTTGATAAATCACAACATTTATCTGCACTTTAGAAAGTCAGATCTGACCTAGAGACTTTAATATCCCAACTTTTTGGTATCCTGGGTCTAAGATGACACTGTTGTGCACCTTACCATGCAAGACACTACAGCATATCTTATCTACATCACATTCTATCTTCTCTGTATTATAAGGTATCTCTACCGGCACCTGCTGATGTATTTCAGCAAAAATCCCAGTCTGTCTGAGAAGTCTGTTTTCACACAGAACGTCAACAGCAACCTCCTCTGCCTAAAAAGTGAACTCACCCTGCATCTATATGTTAACCAACTTCCAAAGGGTGCAGCTCAGATCCCTAACCAGCTGTAAGTATTTGTTCTTAATATATGTTTATTACTGCTTCTTCAATTAGCCATTAGCATAGGTCAGTGTTTGTTTGTCACATCTATAACCAGGGAATCCATGGCACCTAAAAATAAATAAGGCACCTAGAGGTGTATGTTGTAACACTGGTTAGTGGTAAACCAGTTTGTATAGCCAGTTACAAATATTAGAGTAGGTTTTGGAGAAAATACAAAAAAATGTTTAGAAGTAGTTTTGCTGAACTATGTGGTTTATTTTTGATTATTTTACTCCTAAAAAATCTGAGTTACATTTCTGGCTACTCCACCCACCTACAGTTACTTGACTTAATAAAGAAGAAACATTCACTTCATGTTGAGTGTGGTACACACCATGGCTGAATCCCAAACCAGCTCCTAAACACCAGCCCTAAGGGATAACCCTCAATTTGCACGTTCTCGTGCAATATTAAGTCCCATCCCTAGTGTGTAGGGCAAGTGGACTGTTCATCCCTTAAATCAATCAATCAATAATACTTGAACTTTATAACTATATAGTGAGTCTGTGCAGGTTCAATAGTATTTGGCAGTGGGTGTAACGACGAACTAGTGGAAACAAGGGCATTCAAATGTAAGTTCCGCTGATTTGCTAAAAAAAGGATCATTAATGCCTAAATGAAAGGTCCTCTTAAAATAGTTTTATTTGACTCTTAATTTTAATCGAATGATCATTCATTATTACTTTTATAAGATTCAAGTTATTTCTGTGAACGTTGGACGTTTTTCTTTGTTTGAATGAAGGATACCAAACATTTTGTCCATGTATGTTGGAGCGTCCGGACATGGATTTTCACTGTGGGTATTACCATCTATGGGCAATTGAACCTAAAATTAAAACAATTAACTTTTATTAACTACTACATGAAGTAATTAATGAATTATATCCAAATTTATTTTCATAAGATTTACAAAAGTTTGAATAAATGTTTGGTAGTGATTACTTAATATTCATTTGTTGGGAAAATATTTAATCTTATTTAATTTCAAAACTAGTTCTGTCTTATTTACTTGGCTTTTTATTACAAAGTTTAAAATTTCTAGTTACAATTATTTTGATTTGATTATACACCAAAGTCCTGATTTTACCCTCTGCCTTATTCCTAGTCGTCTGAACCCCTATTCTGTTACACCCTGGCAAGTCAACAGTGAGATTAGCCTTCACCTGTCAGTGGGGGGCAAGGTATTTTACAACGACTTTCAATTATTTGTCGGAATACAATTTTATGTCGCTCTTCAGCTTATTTTATATCGTATTTTATTTAAATAACAGTCCATATCAATTTTTCCTTCAAAGGTGTTGTCAGTTTTTTCCTCTGCACTTAATAACTCTGCTAGCGAGATGGTCAGCATGTCAAGCACTGACAAGATTACACAGTGGCAAGTCCTTGGATACCAAGGGGCCTTACTGAGCCACTTCATTGAGCCGGTCTATGTTCAAAGCATCCTTGTAGGTAAGTCGAATCCCGCATCTTTGACTCGAGCAACCGGTTTGTACTGCTTTTACAGCATTTTTTCACATAAATGATCAAGAACTTAGGTGTGTAATATATTTGTCTTAACAGCATCTAAATACTCTATAGTGATCAACATTATCAGTAGGATTTGGTGGGTTGTTATAATTGTCCTAATTTCCAGCAGTTTTCTTTGTTCCAAAGACTATGTTAATAATAATAATAATAATAATAATACATTTTATTTAACAGCGCCTTTCTTGACACTCAAGGTCACTTTACAAATAATACAAAAAAAATAAATAAAAAGAGATGAAAATACAATATACAGTTGTGTATACATGTTGTCTACTTTCACCATGAAGCATTCATTGGAATCAGTTGTGTTTAACTAGAAAACATCTTAAACATCAAGAACACCGCCTCTGGATGGCATCAGTTTGCTAGTCCTGGTATAGACTATTACTGTTAGATCATAATAGTTCGGGTAGATTTCCTGAAAATGTCCTTAACTCTAGGTGGATATTAGACTTCAGTTCAGCTAACTTATTTTATTAGGATACATTTTTTTCATCCACCTAAATTAAATGATTTGATACGTATATACCAATGGTTTCAAACCCTGCTCCTCAGGACCCACAGGCCGGTTTGTTTTAGATGCGTTTCTCCTCCTGCACACCTCCATTAAATGACTACAGTACCTCCTCAGCAGTCATGAAGAGCTGCAGAGGCCTGTTAATAATCCACTTATTAAAGCAAGGCATGTGGAAGCAGGGAAAAATCTAAAACATGCACAGCAGTGGGACCTGAAGAGCAGGGTTGGGAACCGTCACGCTACACCAAGTATTAGAGGGAGAAATATATTAGGGTGTTAGTAATTAGACTTTCCAGCCATTAATATTTGGAACTTACTGCAATCACAAATCACCAAAAATACCAGTGGGAACATGCTACAGGTCTACCGTTTAATTGCTTTTGTGCCAATCAGTACTTTTCCATTCATTCTGAGTATTTTTTGTAAAGCCTTTTTTAATTTAAAAGAAAATGTTTCCCAAATAGAATAGTCTGCACACAGTGTCTCGTTTTCTACTATAAATAACCTATTGGTTGAATAAAAAAAACAAAAAACAAAACAAGATTTAACTCTTAAAGGGTTATGTGTACATTTACCCCAAATGTATGCATGTTAACATTAAGCGGTGAATAAATTTAGATCTGCCTAACGACATTCAAGCCAAGGTTTAAACATAGCTCCGTTTAAACGCACAGTAAAATTGTGTTAACCCAGAGTTGGATATGAAACTGAAATAATTTTTTTGAAGAGGGGAAAAGTTAACCTAAAAATAGTTTATCTTACGCTGTCAGTACCTTCACCTTGCTTTGAAGGTGGGTGCTCTTGAGCACCAGCAAATTCCCCAGTCTTAAAACCATGATAAAAAGGTGTGAAAATATCATAGTTTCCATGTTTGAGGGATGCTTATACTCCCCACCCATTATAATTACATGGCAAACAATCACATTTGTCCAGTGTTTAACTAAGGGAAACTCCAAAAGTAAGTTCACCTATTCTATAAAAATGTACCAGGGTACAGCCCCAGATTATAATGGCTTGGAATGGTATGACGAATTTAAAAGGAGAGTACCAGGTCCATGAGCAAGTCTGTAATGCTATTATAGTTGTAATTTTAGTAAAGCTCAATGACACTTTTATAAATAAACAATTAAGCAGCACCTCATAAGCATCTGAGGCACATGAAGCGTTTCACCAGCAGCAGCTTCTGGAGTTTGAACATTTCAGCTTTTGCTGCTCGATGCACCACATCGACCAATCAGAGAAGCTGATCTGGGAGCTGGCAGGGAGATGGAAACAGCACTGCTGATGCAGAGCGCTATGATCACTCCACTGAAACGGCTTTTCACCTAAATCAACTTAAAATGTCAACCTGCTGGCAAAATATGTTTGCGTTTATAATTCTAGTGCCTGCAGTTTGCACCATATACCTGAAAAACGCCAATATCTCCTTGCAGCCACCACAAACGGTGGGGGAAAACCCCAAACAGGCAGCCTGGCCTGTTGCTGGATTCCCAGTGACAGCGCACAGTCTGTATGCGGGGTTCTGCATGCCTCCGACACTGAATAATATTTTAAGGCAGGATTATAATCTTGATGAACTGGCTGCACAGATGATGTTTTGAGATGGACTTTCTCACCAAAAAAATATAATAAAACTACTTTTTACCAGCTTATCTCAGCAAATATAGCAAAGCCACTCTTGCTATTGTGTGCTATTGAACACAGGAGCAGCAGAAGCATCATATGCATCTGGATACACTTTACTGGACTTCACTTCAGGAGCATCAAAGATGCTCTTGTAGCTTGTCTGACCTTAATACGTACAAGCTTTAAAAATTAAGCAGTAGGCACTTTTTTGCTGCTTAAATTTATTGACCATTTCAGTTTGTGATTTTGCCTGAGGCCAATGTGTTTTACTATGCATCATGTGTCTTACATTACTTTCAAATGCTGCAAAGGCCTTACCACAATAGAACCCTGGTCCTATCTTTATCAGACAGTCGGACAAGGTATTCTATTTGCAGAAGACGTCGCAACGTTTTTATTCAGCCCGGATGACAAAGCAACTTCATGAGGTTTTGGCCTTAAGGAAAGGTGGCTTAGCACTGAGGAGTTGCAATAAAATGAAGATGCAATAAAGGCTTCAAATTATCTTCTAAAAATGTATTCAATGAATTAAATTTTGGAAGATTTGGAAAGATTAACTTTTGTAATGTATTTTTTAACTTTGCAACTTCATTACATCCGAAATTTACAACTACAAAAGTGAAGCGTATGTAAAATATTTAAGTCACAAATATTGGGTTCCCATAAGCGATCAATAGAATTAGATGAGTTGTTTTATTTTCTCACACATCCCAGGCATTTTTAAAATAAAGCCAGAAAGTCTTTTCAGATAAGGACCTAGCTGCTAATTTACCAGCTCCACTGTCATGTTAACGAATTTGTAACAGATTATGTGAAACCTTACAGGTGACTCTGGCTGCACTGAAATCCGTGGTATGGAGATATCTGTGAATGAGCGAGTGGAGGGAATCACCTCCCAGCTGCCCATGTTCTACTGCGACATGCGACCCCAGATTAGCCTAGTGCCCTCTGTGGTCACCTCTAACACTGGCAGCAGGTTTCTGACCAGTGGCATCAACTGGAGTGAAGGAGACAGCTCTTTGGAGGTTGTGGATGGTCTTGAGGGAAAAACCATCGAAGAGTAAGCATACCTAACATATTTTGGATAACATTTTTTTTTTTTACGTTGGAAGAACGGCAGCATGAACATGGAGGCATCAAAATAAAAACAATTTTTTTCATAGCTGGCATACGATGATAATGCAGGAGTAAAGTTAGATAGTTTTATGTTTAAGTTTAGTTGCAATATCTCCTAATGGATTTACTGCATTACAGATTTCAAATTTTTTTTGTTTTGTTTTTGGTGATGGCTAAATTTGTCAACTTTAAATCACTTTTAATGTTAGACAAAGCTAAACTGAATGAGTACTTCCCACCATTTACAGCTGTTCATTTCATTTGAGGAAACGCCGTTCAAACTAACATGGCCCTATGGGCAGATATAATCACCTTCATTAATTACATCATTTGTCATGTTTATTTTAGACTTGGAATCAAATTATTAGACTATGATCTTGTACATGGTCATGGAACTTGGGTTACTGCGCTTTCACATTCAGACTAGCTATAAGTGTCATATGTACCTGTTATTTTTTTTTTTTGTTTTTCATACAGTAATGTGACAGGGGTCCCGCAGGTCCTTAAAAAGTCTTACAGTAAAAAGCATTGAATTCTTCAAAATAAAACCAAGGCCTTAATTGGTATTAAAATGTCTTAAATAGTCTTTTGTAGGTCTTAATTTTTAAAACATCATAAATAGGATTATTTTTATTATGATTTATTTTTGCAATCTAAATAAAACATTTAAATTTACCTTT